CGCCAGCAGCCCCGGCGGGCGCCGGCCCCCGAAGCCGCTGCCGCTCACGTCCGCCATCTCTGCCTGCGCCGGCTGCGGGGTTGGTTGGGCTCTTCTGGGCTTTGGCACCTGGACAGACAGTTGGGCCCACCAGTCAGTGTCTCAACACATGCACCGGCCAACTCATTATCTTTTGGAAGAAGAGCTCTTTCAGGGATTGCAGAGATAAGATGGATGCTTACCAACGCATTATCTTTTACTTTACTTGACAAACAATGCAATGCAAGGATGTGAGAGGACGTGATGGTGAAACTGATCGAGATGAAGAAAATTAACCAATGCAAGTTAATGCAGGTCGCTGTGCTTCTAGCTTGGATTCGTCAGGATTCATCCATCCAATCCCACTCCAAGAGGACCACATGAGTTTCACAAATCTATCGAGCAGTATAAGACAGCTCGAGCTATCTTTTCAGTAATCAATCAGAAGATAGGCAACGCGCTGAACCAATAAATCTTGCTCTTATCTTTGTCTGGAAATTCAGTGAAAGAGTCGTCGTACGTATCGTTTTCATAACAATGGCGTGAGGCCATCGTTTTTACAGCAGGAGTGTGTATCCAGCGATGAAAGAATGGATCATTACTCAAGGGACAGGGTTACGATCAGATTCGTGCAATAATGACGCGGATCACCACGTGCCCAATATATTATTGCAATCCATATGTATGTATCCCTTTCATGTTAGTAGGCAGACATTTTAATAAGAAAGATACAGGCAACATGATAACAAGTATGAGATTTTAATACGAGTCACACTGATTGATGGATGAAGAACAGGAAAATGACAGTAAAGAAACGAGTAATAATATAGATCGACGCTGTCATGCACGTACAACAGGTGACGCTGTGAGCAGTAACCTAAAATTGATTTGTGGTTGTTCAAACATGAGGTCTATCTGACACTCCGCAGCATCACAATCGCATCACATTCACGTTAGCGGGTTCTAGTTGCTATCCTACTCCTGTAGATGGGCTCTCAGTGTATTCAGCATTGCAAAAATACGCTCAGATTACACCTGCTGTACAGTATAATGACCTTGTAAATTGTAATAAAATACAGACAAGCAGGTAGATCAAGTGGCCGTGCTGTTCTATCGAGGGCAGAACGGACAAAGTACATCACGAAGAGAGAGCAGAAGAAAGCCTTCCTTTTTTGCCGTCTTCTTTCCGTTCCAGCTATCGTCTACTCAGGATTCAGATCGAAAGGATCAATAATGTTCCACATATCATTCTATCGTACATGAATATATGATGTGTACCATAGAGTAGCGACGGCGGGAGAGATGGATACTAGTAATATCAATTAGAGAAGCATCAGAACACAAGACTCTTACAAAAACGTGACATGATCAAAGAGTGGCCATGTCTGCACCCTGCAGAACAAGGCGAATGACTACAAAAGAACTCTGTCCGACATATGGAGAAAAAGGGAAGATTACAGGTGACCCTGGAGATATGAACAAACATTTGGACGATTCAGAATTCAAGCCCGTGCTCTCTAGCAGAATCAGCAAGAGCTTTTATGCGGCCATGGTAGAGGAAACCACCTCGATCGAAGACAACTTTGCTGATCCCTTTCTCCAAGCAAGACTTGGCAATCACCTCACCAATCTTTTGTGCTATTTCCTGGAAGCCAATATCAAATTTCTGTCAGAAACAAATCATAGCCTATCTGCGAGAGCATGTCTCATCTTGTCATGTTGAATCATGTATAAGCAAAATTCAAACACCAATGCAATACCATTGGAGATAAAAATCAACAGAGTCATCATAAAAATGATTGCACAACCTCAAATTGCTTTGTGTTTTTTATATGTAGAATCATCTGAAGAAAACACAGTGTATGGTTCCCTGAGATTGTTCAAGTTCCAGTAACCAGACTACTTACAAGCCAGTGTGATCTAACTAGAAAAACATGCTGTCTTAAAACCTCATTGATTTTTCAGAAAGGGAGTTTTGAACCTAGACTTAACTGTGTTGATTAAGTTGGCCATGGCTATTTTATGTATATATAAGCAAATATTGAAGTACCACAAATGACTGATGAAAGAATGGGTTTATAAATTGTGAATATATTAAAGGCTGCATTATCTGTTCATCTTCTCTACTCTGGTAGCCTGTTTTACTTTTCACTGCAACCAGGGCTTGTTCAATGACCAGAGACATAAGACCGTGCCTATTCTTGTGAAGAAACAGCGATGCATGCATATATGTAGTGATTACACATCTAGTACAGATAACTGGCGTGTTTAAAGTAGGAATACCTCAAATCAAACTATGTAATCTGAAATCCCAATGATAATTCAGTACCCAAACAGAGTGTATACATTTGATTGGGTCATAGATAATTAATCACATTGAAGTTTCCAATGATGCTACAAGTGGAAAGCATATGCATTTAAACAAGGAACCAGTAAACTCTCTACAAGTGGTTGATGTGATTTGAATGCGCTCTTATTCGTTACTAGGCAGGTCTCTACGTTCGAGTGGACAAAGAAGGGCTTTTGGAAGCAGTGAACATCATGTTTCAAATTGTGTCCAAGCTGCTAGCCAAATCAGAAACCAAAGTGGCGATGAAGCAGCTGCAGGATGTTGTTCAAGATGACGAAGATCAGGGACCTGATAGATGTGCCTGAGAATGGTGTAGTGGTGGAGCTGCGTTTCTGTTATGTTCCTTTTGGATGAGTAGCCATGTGCATGTATCTGGGCTGTAAGGTGGAAGTCTGTAAACCTCAGTTATCTAGACTGTACTCCTGCTCTACTATATCTGCTTAATCAGATAGGCATAGAGTTTTGGAAAACTGTCAGGATCAGGTCTTTTTGTTCCTCATTCAGTTTCTGCTTTCTGAACTTTCTTAGGAACTCCGTATTTCTGGTATCTGAGTAATTGAAATGGGGAATGCCTCGATTCGGAAAAAAACAGTAAACTCTCTGTTACGTTCAAACTTAAGCTTTCTAATAAAGCAGGGTTGGGCCTATGATCTAAACTCTCTGTTACTGTTTTACTGTCTTTGGAATGATAATGACACTTCAACGAAGATCAGGGTTTCTCAAGCAAAATAGAAGGAACTGATAACTTACAATCGTTGGTCCAGCCGAGTATTCCAATTCCTCGGAGAGAGATTTGTGCATGGTTGAAGCTGAAGCCAAAGTGCATTGCTTTGTGTCGTCGATGACTTGAGCGTACAAATGCTTGTTTGAGCGGAAAACACTCAACCTCGGCCTCTCTGTGGTGCCACTTACCTGGAAAGGAGTATGTAAGACTGACAACTGCGATAAAACTCGCGAAACTAGCAGTAAAACCCGTAGTTACATTCAATTCGTGAGCTCTATAGCCGATAGATTCTTAGGCTACCACTCCAAGAGAAGCATTTCGTCGAACAGGACGGAAGCACGGCCTTGGCCCGCACCCACCACTCGTGCAGTCGAATGCAGAGTGAAAATGTCCTCGCTAGAATTCGTGCACATTGATTGATGTCCACATTCGCACGAAGGAAGGAGGAGAAAGATTCTAACTTGGCTCTCGCGCAGATTTCTAGTACCTTCTTGCGGAGGCGGACATGGCGGGCGATGCGGTCGTCCTGGGGCGTGGACACCTTGACCTTGGAGACGACGGACAGCGCCGCGCGACGGGCCGGCGCGGGGACGGAAGGTAAGGGGATGAGGAGGTTGCCGGACACGGACGCCGCGAATGAGTGGACGCCGGCGAGCGCAGGCGAGGCGAGCATGGCTCCCTTTGCGCCGCTGCTCTTCTCTTCGCTCTCCCTGCCTCCCGCACAACGGCGTCTCCGTTATGGCCTTATCCTATCCGCTGCACAGCGTTTAAATGCTTGATCAAATTACAACAAGGACCCTTCTATTTTACTTATTTCAGTATAGAACATGATGCATTTCGCATAATTTATTTCATTGCAAATTGCAATACCTCTGAAACCAAACAAAATCAGTAGCATTTTAAACTTGTAATATATATAGTCCAGTTTACTAATAAAATTAATTAATATGACCAAAATTAGGCATAGGCCTGGGAAAATTAGGCCAGCCTTGGCAACCGAACAGCAACTGACGAAGCTCCCATTGTCGAAAGAATACAAGAATTAAAAGCAGCACTATATTTTCTTTTATAGAGGGCAATATATCGGAATATAAAGGGAATGCAAACTTCTGAAGTTTGGTAGAATTAGAGTACTGTCACTTTATTCTGAGGTACAATCATGGTACATAGAGAATGGTGCGCCAACAGTGCGAATATCTGCAGAATTACTGCATATGCTGTTCAGCAACTTTCAGTTCACACTGCTCTAAATGATACAGTTCCATTAATATTTGGAACTAATATAAGAGTGCAATCTCTTCATCAATGAAGCTAGGGTACACCTTCTGCATCCACTATCCAAACTCAAACTATAAGTCGTAGGTAGTCCACTCTCACGGTATTACAGAATGGATAACCCACAGGGTTACAGATTCAAGCAACCACCGCAGTTTCGACAGCAGTGGAAGCAAGAACATCAGACTCGCACCAATCCTGACCATCCCATATCTCGGGTAAACCTTCATGTTATGAATGCTCTCCAAAGCATGGTCAGCCCCTGGAACAAGTGTCGGTCTGCCAACCTGCAAAATTCAGAAAGTTTTGTGTTCAAGTTATCCCATTGGACATGAATGACGGTTAATGTGGAATTTTGGACCATGTGCAGTGTCTTACAATCACAGTATGGAAGCCTGCAGCCTTTCCTGAAGCTATGTTCCGAGTGCTGTCGTCAAAAAATATCTGAAAATAAACTCTTAGAATGTAAAATTTCCAACAGGGTCAGGCCTCAGGTTGTGATATGGCAAGGTACCATGAACAGTTGCATCAAACTCATCATTATCAAATTTCGTAGCCTAATGCCTGCAGAGAATAACGATCACACGATTAGAAAGGAGAAGAAAATATAGGACAAGTCATTGTAAAGATTACCTTAAGGCCAGCCATTGTGGTACCATATTCCTTGTACAGGTCCAGGCACATATCTGCAATATGGCTTTCTTCAATATGCAAATGGTGCCGCATGTAATCTGGTGGCCAAATTTCAAAGTTGCAGTCTCTTCAACATTTGCAGACAATAAACACCTCATAAAGCATGAAGCCGTGGAAAACGATTCCTTGTATGTTTTTGCGACAAGCTAGATTGATGCCAGCGCTGAAGGGATACAAAGTGTCATCAAGATCTGAAAATGAAATAGAAAAAGAGACGTCATTATTTGATTATACCATAAGATGAAGAAATAAACACAACAATTTCTCTGGAATTTTAAAAGAAGGGAACACACCAAACAGCAAGCACTTGTACTTCGGTCTTTCAAGAGACTCCATCCTCAACAGTCAAAAACTGCAAAAAGTTTTCACAAATTAAGTGAGACCAGTTTTCTGAATAGTTATTATTTGAGAGCTGAAAAAATGAAGAAAAATATACAGGATGCAAGTTTTGGATGTAACTCCATCAAATAACTCCTAAGTTAATCTTTTTCTGCCATTTAAAAAAGTTAATTAATCTTTTTTCTGGATGAAACTCCTATGGGTTTATTTGAGCAAACAAGGCTTATTCATTATAGCGTAACTCCTCTTATAGATATTAAACACATCCACTAACTCCACTGCAGTTACATAAATAAAATCTTAGTAACAAGTAACCACATTTCCACCTATAAAAACCAGTTATTCCTCCCAATCCTAGACCAGCAACCCATTCCAATCCATTACCTCACAATAAACGACTATCACCAAACCGTGAAGAAATGGCCAAGCTCGCCAACCTCACAGCCCTCCTGCTCCTTGTTGTCATGGCCATGGCCACCATCTCGTCCGTGCACAGCGCCCGCACTCTTGAGAGAGTGGATCAAGTGACCATCCTAGAGCCTTCGACGGTGGCGAAGCCCCCCTCGTCCACGTTGTTGGAAGTTGAGGCCCTGCTCCCTTGCGATGGCCTGTTTGAAGAAGCAGCAGACGGCCCCATCGCAGCCGGGTACCGTGCAACCGATTGCACTCGCAAGACACCGGTGCTAGGGCCCTAAGAAACAAGGCTTATCATAGTTGGGTTGTCACGTGTAGTGAGCACCGGCAGCTAGCATTACTAAGTTCGTGCCAACCATGTAAACGATCTTCATCAAGGAACGATAAGCATGAATAATGGGATGTGATGCTGCTAAATTTACTTGTCATGGATACTGCTAGATTTAATGTGGGCATGACCCATATTTTATTTAATAATCAAATCAAATAAATCCTAATGCCATATTAGATGCTAGGTGCAATAAAATGGTGGACTGAATGTAGTTGATGGCTAAACTTGTAATGGTCATAGTTATGGCTGCGGTTACCAATAACTCATGCTTATGGCAGCGGTTACTGGTGATTGATGGACGCTTCATGACGTCCAGGTTCATCCTCTACATTTCATCTTCTATCTTCCGCACTTATAAGAAGGAAAGCTTGCCTTCAACAGCGCAGACGAGAGACAGTACACTGCACCATTGTGTTTTTTATATGTAGAATCATCTGAAGAAAACGCAGTGTATGGTTCCCTGAGATTGTTCAAGTTCCAGTGGCCAGACTATTTACAAGCCATTATGATCTTACTAGAAAAACATGCTGTCCTAAAAACTCACTGATTTTTCAGAAAGGGAGATTTGAACCTAGGACATGACTGTATTGATTAAGTTGGCCATGGCTGGTTTTGTATATATATAAGCAGATATTGAAGTGCCACAAATGACTGATGAAAGAGTGGATTTATCAATTGTGAATATATCAAAGGCTGCACTGTCTGTTCACCTTATCTACTCCGGTGCTCTGTTTTACTTTCACTGCAGCCACGGTTTGGCCAATGATCGGAGACATAAGACCGTGTCTATTCTTGTGAAGAAATCGGGAATGCATGCATATTTGTAGTGATTGCACAATCTAGTAGAAATAACTGGTGTGTTTAGAGTAGGAGTACCTCAAACTATGTAATCTGAAATCCCAACGACAATTCAATACCCAAACAGAGTATATACATTTGATTGGGTCATAGATAATTAATTGCACATTGAAGTCCTTGGCCCTTACCAGATAATTTATCATCTAGTTTCCAATGATGCTACAAGTGGAAAGAATATGCATTTTCACTAGAGCAATCTTCCATTTGTATTATGGGGGAAAGGGATGGTTTAATAAAGGAACAAGTAAACTCCCTGTTAGTGATTTACTATCTTTGGAATGGTATTGACATTTCAACCAAGATCAGAGTTTCTCAAGCAAAATAAAAGGAGCGGATAACTTACAATCGTTGGCCCAGCCGAGTATTCCAATTCCTTGGAGAGAGTTTTGTGCATGGTTGAAGCTGAAGCCAGAGTGCATTGCTCTGTGTCGTCGATGACTTGAGCGTACAAATGCTTGTTTGAGCGGAAAACACTCAACCTCGGGCTCTCCGTGGTGCCACTTACCTGGAAAGGAGTATGTAAGACTGACAACTGCGATAAAACTCGTGAAACTAGCAGGAAGTAGCAGTAAAACCCATAGTTACATCCAATTCGTGAACTCTAGGTATAGCTGATAGATTCTTAGGCTACCACTCCAATAGAAGCATTTCGTCGAACAGGACGGAGGCACGGCATTGGCCCCCACCCACCACTCACGCAATCGACTGGAGAGCGAAAATGTTCTTATTACAATTCGTGCACACTCGTACGAAGGAAGGAGGAGAAAGATTCTAACTTTGCTCTCGCGCAGATTTCTACTCCTACCTTCTTGCGGAGGCGGACATGGCAGGCGATACCGTAAAAAAGCATAGATCTAAAGCTACAGCAAAAACTTTATACTAAAGCATATCATATTATATTTTCACTGTGTAGATCTACTCATGTGAAGTCCAACAAAATTGAAATTTCTATTTTATGATTTTTACTGTGATTTACTATGAAAAGATTCAATGAAAATAAATAAAAATAAATAAAAACCACAGTCACTTTTCCAAAACCGCTGAGGGTTTTTGCCCTGTTTTAAAAGTTCAGATGGTAGAAAATTCGGTTTTATAGTTTTTGAAAGAAGTAGTCCACCCTAAATAGTTGGGGGTTATGTAAACTTTTTTTTTTTCTTTAAAGAAATGTATCGTAAAACAAAGGGAAATAAAATGGCAACCACATGCCCACTGTAAACCCGATGGGCAAGGATACGGGCACCACTTCTTGCACATGTCCAAACCATCCGAACCAGAGGATAGTTCTTCCAAAGAAATTTGCTATCCTCGCCAGCTTATCCGTTCCGCTCCATGGTCTAAAATGGGACCTACAGGCAAATATATGTATATATACACGATTTGTTGTGAATATGTATCTTCATATCTCTTGTAATGCACTATGATTTATGGCTCAACTTTGGGTTACGGGCATGCATAAACTTTTCATGCCTTTGGATGGAGGGCGCGCGGGGTTTGTTGCCCGTGGCGGAAAAGATTTAGGCGAAGGGATAAGAAGGTAGTATGGGCATCACTTTCTTTAAAAGGGAATTTGAAGTTTGGTAGAATTAGAGTACTGTATCTTTATTCTAAGGTACAAGTACAAACAGTCGAACATGTTTTTTTTTTATCGAATACGCAGGAGAGCTGTGTATCATTGCATTAAGAAGAATAGTTGTAAAATACAACATGCACAAACATAGTTACATGGTACATAGAGAATGGTGCGCCAAGAATGCGAATACTGCAGAATTCCTGCATATGCTTGTTCAGCAACTTCAGCTCACACTACTCTAACAGATACACTACCATTAATATTTGGAGCTAAGAGTGCAATCTCTTCATCAATGAAGCTAGGGTGCACCTTCTGCATCCACTATCCAAACTCAAAACTATAAGTAGTACGTATTCAAGCACAGGATGGATAACCCACAGGGTTACGCATTCAAGCAACCACCGCAGTTTCAACAGCAGTGGAAGAAAGAAGAACATCAGACTCAGACCAATCCTGACCATCCCATATCTCAGGTAAAGCTTCCTTCATGTTATGAATGCTCTCCAAAGCATGGTCAGCCCCCGGAACAAGTGTCGGTCTGCCAACCTGCAAAATTCAGAAAATTTTCTGTTCAGGTTTTCCCTTTGTACATGAATGACGGCTGATGTGGAATTTTAGACCATGAACGGTGTCTTACAATCACAGTATGGAAGCCTGCGGCCTTTCCTGAAGCTATGTTCCGAGTGCTGTCGTCAAAAAATATCTGAAAAATAGATTATTAGCATGTAAAATTTCCAGTGCGGCATTCCTTCTTGTTAGAACGTGTTCTTTTTCATATTTCACAGACGAGAATCCTTACTGTTTTCTTGGGATCAACATTTGCAATCCGAATTACAGCTTCCATGGCTTCAATGGAGGGCTTGCAAAGGATAGGCGATATGGGTCTGAACCCATCTGATTCATTCAGATCAACCAAGTTGGGAGATGTTTCATCTGGGAACAGCATGCTGTTCTGGAACTCGCTCAGAACATTGCAAGGATTCAGTGTCTCAAAGCAAATTACAAAATCGAAGCAACCCTGTAAACCCAGTCTGCGCAGAGATTCCTCCGCATGAGCTTTGTCAGAATTTGTGAATACCTGCAGTAACCAAATGTAGGTTGATAAAAATGCTCACCGCGACTATTTTCCCAAATATATCATTTCAGAATACAGCAAGAAAACAGAAATAACTGGTTGCTTTTCGTACTATTTTTCTCTGTGGAATTGAAAGTAGGAGGGTCCTCAAAACAGGGTCAGGCCTTAGATAGTGATATGGCAAGGTACCATGAACAGTTGCATGAAACTCATCATTATCAAATTCATAGCCTAATGCCTGCAGAGAATAACGATCGCACGATTAGAAAAGAGAAGAAAATATAGGACAATTCATTGTAAAGATTCAACAAACGACTAATGGAACATGAGTTGTACCTTAAGGCCAGCCATTGTGGTGCCATATTCCTTGTACAGGTCCAGGCACATATCTGCAATATGGCTTTCTTCAATATGCAGATGGTGCCGCATATAATCTGGTGGTCAAATTTCAAAGTTGCAATCTCCTCAACATTTGCAGACAATAAACGCCTCATAAAGCACGAAGCTGTGGAAAATGACCAGTATCATTACCCACCTTGTATGTTTTTGCGACAAGCTAGATTGATGCCAGCGCTGAAGGGATACAAAGTGTCATCAAGATCTGAAAATGAAATAGAAAACGTCATTATTTTATTGTACCACAAGATGAAGAAATAAATGCAGCAACAATTTCTCGGGATTTTTAAAAGCAGGGAACACACCAAACAGAAAGCACTCGTACTTCGGTCTTTCAAGAATAGACTCCATCTTCAACAGTCAAAAGCTGCAAAAAGTTTTCCCAAATTAACTGAGACCAGTTTTCAGAATAGCTATTATTTGAGAACTGAAATATTTTATATAAAGGATGCAAGTTTTGGATGTAACTCCATCAAATAACTCCTGAGTTAATATTTTTCTGGATGAAACTCCTAAGGGTTTATTTGACCAAACCGTGAAGAAATGGCCAAGCTCGCCAACCTCACAGCCCTCCTGCTCCTTGTTGTCATGGCCATGGCCACCATCTCGTCCGTGCACAGCGCCCGCACTCTTGAGAGAGTGGATCAAGTGACCATCCTGGAGCCTTCGACGGTGGCGAAGCCCCCCTCGTCCACATTGTTGGAAGTTGAGGCCCTGCTCCCTTTCGATGGCCTGTTTGAAGAAGCAGCAGACGGGTACCGTGCAACTGATTGCACTCGCAAGACACCGGCGTTCGGGCCCTAAGCAACACGGCTTATCATAGTTGGGTTGTCACATGTCGTGAGCACGGGCAGCTAGCATTACTAAGTTTGTGCCAACCATGTAAACGATCTTCAAGGAATGATAAGCATGAATAATGGGATGTGATACTACTAAATTTACTTGTCATGGATAGAAGACTGAGAATTACAATAGTATGACTTGTTTACAGCAAGGTCAACCAAAATGTAATATGTACTGATTCCATTTTGTCACAAGGGAAGGGAGGAACAGGGACATTGCACGCATCAATTAGAACGAACTCTTTTCACTGTTTTCCTTTTACTAATTTCTGGTTGTGATATTCAAGACCCGTATGGTGCTTATAGGGAAATTTTGATGCTCCTGGTGAGCAGTTTATATGGCAAAGGAAAAGGGTTATCCATGAATGTGGATTTTAGATCCTTCTGTTGACTTTTGTTTTGTCAAGCATTTCTCAGATGATCCAGTATGTGCGATGAGAGGCTTAAGGACAAGACCCATAGTCACATAACAGAAGTGGAGATGTATCCCCACACCCTACTGGCTGTCTGAAGAATGAAGCAGTTGGTGTTGTCTGCAGGAGTGAAGATGATCACTTTCTAGATGCAAGTGCTGTTTTCCATGGTCTGACATGCTTCCTAGATGCAATTTGAAGCTACTTCTATTTTTTTCCCTTGGACAAGAGGAGACTTATCTCATTGCATATACACAGATAGAAAGTCTGTTTAAATGCTGATTCGATGGCTTCAGTTAGTTTTAGGAATGCCTTAGTTTTATACTTTTACTTTGAAGTTACTTCTGAAAACTTACACTCGGAGTTGATGATGGTACTGCTCAGTTCACTATCACAAAAGAATGTCCAACTCTAGCAGCAGGAACAAGGTACAGGGCATTTCAAAGGAGAACTGTAGAAGGATAAAGTAACAGACGAAAACAGAACAGCGGACAAGAAGGTTACCTTCAAAATGCAAGGACTTGAAGTTGAAGGCTTCTGAATCTCCGATGAATGGTGTTGGAGCCGGTGCTTCTGGTGCTGTACTTATAGCAGCCCAAAGCTCTCCACATACAGAACAGTTATGCAGCTGCCTTAGTAGATTGATTGATAGCATATTGGCATGATATTCAGCATTTGAACGATCCAGAAGCCAATTTGCCTGTAGCTTTCCATCAACGCAAGGATGCCTCTTTCCTTCCACAGAAGAAAGCAGGGGTGGTGTTCAACCTTGAAGGCCCGCATATCCTCACAAGTCAGAACTGCATGACAGGTACCTACAAAAGTGGCATGCGAATATATTGTAATTATTGAAAGCACCAAAGAATATTACAAGCATCTTCTTGAAAAATCCTAGACTTCGGCAAAGTTGTTGAGAAATAGGTCCACTTAGTAGTACTTTGTGCCATTCCTACTCTGTTATTTATCCAGCAGCCTCTGTTGAATTCATAGAGAATGGGAGAGAACACGAATAATAAAAGGTATGGCAAATCAGGCGTATCTATGGCTCCAAGTTAGCACATACATCATTTGCCATAGTTTGTGTGGTCCAATGGCTACTCAATTGGAATAACCACCTTCAGAGGAATGTTCCAGTGTTCTGGTACAAAGGGTACTTACCAACTCATTGAATATTATGAGCATTTCATACTAGTTTACAACCTCTACACGACATGATAAAACAGCCCACAAATTGAAGAAAAAAATACTTTATAAAATATGGTAATTACACCATCCATACAATGCTATCACATTAAAGTCAAGGACACTTCTGCCAGTTTATCCTCTCAGCATGGGCTTAAAAACACCTTTCTGAGAACTCAGGATATTGCCAAAAGGTATCAAATCCTTGAAGGCCAGCAAGGAAAGGTCAACCGGTGTAGCGGTAACCAGCATTAGCTGTCGACGATGAACTGCAGTAGTTGATTAACTACGTTACAACAGAAATGGAAAGATTACAATAGTAGCATGAGATTAACATATTATAAGTGAGCATCCTTTCATGTAGCTGCAGCTACAGCTTCGATCTATCTTCTCATAAACCAGAGCAGCTACAGATTTAGACAAAAGAGAGAGCATAAGGCATTCCATGAAATCCTGATTGTCTGCCCAGCATAAATGGCTTTGAGCTACCATATCTGAAACCAGAGCTTGAACTCTTGCATACTTGTGGAGATGACCTGACCTTCAGACTTTGTCCTGGAGAACCTAGAATGCATTTGGGTTCCTGTTATCAGTTGAATACGAATGAATTAGAAATGGAACAGTGTGGCATCCTTTCTTAGTTTTTAGAACTTTAAACAAATACCTGGCTAAAAAAATCAAAGAGTAAGAGAAAAGACACAATCGATAATGCAAATAGGTCAACTAGTCCACACCACACAAAGTGCTTACCCAGTAGCATGGAATATGAGACGGAACATGGAAGAGAGGAGAGAAATGTGTGTTTGACTAGAGATACTCAATAGAAATGTTAACTTTCTCTAAATTCAAATTTTAGTTCAGTAAAAACATTGAAGATACTCAATCGAAATGTTAACTTTGTCTGTTTCAAAGGCAAATACATACTTCTCAAGTGACAATATCAGCTATATTATGAACTTTAGTAAACCAAAATTACACAAATAATCTGCACAGCATTTCTTTGCACAATAGCAATGCAAATCCGTGACTAAGGAAAATGAAACACAAGCAAAGGATGAAGTCTAAAATCATGCAAAACAACTGTACAGAAAAAAAAAAGGTTTCCAACAATAGATTTTTAGATCGGCACCTTCTCAGTATGAGATCCTGGTAAGCTAGCAACTGGTGTCAAATGCTTCAATCTGGCACAAACAAAAAAGATAGCATTTTAGATATGTATGGATGATTCTCCAATCTCCATGAGATAACATGGAGACTGCAAACTCACCTGCCTGGGGAATACCTATCCCTTGCAGCCTTTATCTTTTCTACTGCCTAATGAAAGAAGGCACAGATTATTCCATGAAATCAACCATTTGGTGTTAGGATAGTTAGTGAAATACAATAAATAACACATGCCTTTGTTACCCTATCAGAACTGAAACTGTTTTCTGTTGACAAGAAATCCATAAGGCCCTGAACACGGAAAGCAAAGCATGCTTAGCTTGTGAAACAATCGGAGTCATGTCATGTACTATGGTCTATCAATGAAAACCTCTGAGTCTGGTGAGGTCCACGTGAAATCTGGAATTCTTGCACAAACATTAGGTTCCTTAAACAAGGTCCGAACTTCCTGGTAAGGCCAGTCTTCTGGAACACTGAATCTACAGATCCAAAAAGAACATGCACAGTAAGACCAGCATGTCAAGATCACTCAGAGAATAACATGGTAATCAAGAAAACCATGCCAGTAGCACCAACTCCTGAGTACAACCTACTTCCTACATGCAGATTTTATATTTCTTAGGTATAAACAGTGTAACAAAGAAGCTACAGAAATATAAACTGGTTAATGACTGAGCTTTTAAATAATTAATTAATCTTTGATGTATTTTTTAAAGTTGTACTCCAGGCAGTCATCAAGGACTGGTCAGACTGAAAGGCAAACAGTTCTCAGACAGATAAAATCTGCAACTACTTGACAGCATAGCAGCTTTTGCTGTTACAAACTGCAGATTTTAGTAGATACATTTTGTGGCATGACCACATGTTGACCTAATGCCCCCTAGCAGAAGCACATAGCATAAACAGCACGGTGACATAGTAAAATGGGCAGTAGCAGAGTGCAGGATAGCAACAGAAGCTGTGCAGCAGGACGCAGAGCGGTGGTATTATAATCAGAGGCATTAGGAGACATTAGTGGTGTAAAACGCTTGCTGTGCAGTGTATAACATAGCAGCATAATAAAAAAAATGTTTTCTTCTCAGTATTATATGGGGGGAAAAGTGACTTGCAAAAAAGGCAATTCGAAAAATTTGCGGCCCTGTTAACACTCACAAGGCACACATAATCCAACGCTATTCACGTTAAGCATATGTTAGCATGTCCATATAACATAACATCATTGTCGCCATTGAAAAGGCATTTGGCATTCCACTGCATACATTATCATTTCACGGAGTTCAAAAAATGTGTACTTTTCTGGCAAAGTAGCAATGCGACTCACTAGACAGGATTTGAGTGAACATGTGACTGAATGTATAAGACAAGGACTATCTCATCCAAACATACCTCGTCTGGTTCAGATTTTGCAGAACTTCTTCTATGCAACCATGCTGACGAATGAGTTTCAAGGCTCTTTGTCCCCCGATACCTACGAACAGAAGAATATGACAGTTACAAGAAAATTTAAATACCTTATAGATTACAGTGTGGTGATGAATGTTGTTGGTTAGAAGATTGTTCAGATTGTAGATAACATATGTCACCAAACTATCAGCCTAAAGCAAAGATACTATAAAACAAACTTGGAGCTTGAAGTGACATTGATTCAGGATTTAGTCAACAGAAGGAAATTACAGAAAATATAATTGAGCCTAAAACCTAAAGCCTGGGATATTTGGCTTCCACAGTTTATTGCTGCTAAATTTGGGGCAGCGTATATGTTTTTTATCGAACACGCAAGAGAGCTGCGTATCATTTCATTATATTTAGAAAGGTCTGAAATACAGGGGAAGATATCCACAACAACACTCACACGCACAAAAACACCCACAGCACTCTAGAAGAAAAGAACAAAACTGAAAATAAAGAACGCAGCGTTTATGTTAAAGCCCCATGAAATGAGCAGGTGAACAACTAGAAGAACTAGTCAAGGGAACCACAATCTCTTAATAGAAGCTATTTACTGAATCATATGATGAGTTTAATCTAATGAAAATACCTTTAATATTCTCACAGTAATCACATCCACTAAGGATACACAAGTCAATGAACTGATCCATCGTGAGTCCAAGTTCTTCCAAAACCTGGAAAATCATAAAGAATGGCTAAGACACTAAAGGATAAAAGAAGATAAAGAAAATATGTGATGATACCTTTGACACATCAAATTCTGTCACAGGAGATTTCTTATAACCAAGGTCAGTTAAGTGACGAAGAAACCTTCGGGCACCAAAAGTCAGTGAGTCCATGTCCTCTGAAGCTACAGCATAAACCTGGCATTCACAACTCAGAATGAAATAAAAAATAAAATTATGCTAAGATACAGGAATTAACTTGGTATACCTGGTGATTTTCACAAAGTGCTGCACACTGTGCTTCAGCCTCCCCTGGTGCCTGTGGAAGTGATCAGGAAACTTAATTACTTATTACCTTTTTTCTCGAACACGCAGGAGAGCTATGTGTAATTCCATAAAAAGGTAGAAGCGGTCCAATTACATGCCGGTTCCACGGCCTGGGCTAGTTTTTCAAAGGATTTGTGGTCTTTTACCTTATTACCTATGATTCTATAACAGTACGAGATCACAAAGACCAGGTACCATGCTTGCATTGCTGCCATCAAATCAGAGTACAGAATGTGGTCCAGACAGAAGAATCACACCCGCACCCGATCAAAAAATCAAATTGTGTTTTTCTCCGTAGTGATAATATCTATATCATGTGTGGGCAGCTATTGATTGCCAAAGTTTACATATCAACGTGTGCAATGCGTAGCAATGGTCTATTTGTACTAGTTAAAGCCCAATCTTAACAGCAAATAAGTTTAAATCGATACCAAAAAGACATCTTATTTTCAGTTAAGCCATCTGCTTAATCCCCATCAGCAAGAGACTCCGCTAAGCTTACCTAAAAAGTTTCTAGAGCCCTAAGCTCATGAACCTAGAGGGCTGACTCATGAGTTCAACTTGAAATGTAGTCCCTCAGGCCATGTATCTATGGTGTTTAAAAACTGTATACTATTAGAGATATGTAGAGTGAAGGGCAGGCCTGGTGCAAGCGGTAGAGTCTTACCGCCTGTAACCGGAAGGTCCCGGGTTCGAGTCGCGGTCTCCTCGCATTACACAGGCGAGGGTAAGGCTTGCCACTGACACCCTTCCCCAGACCCCACACAGAGCGGGAGCTCTCTGCACTGGGTACGCCCTTTATTAGAGATATGTAGAGTCTAGAGATATGTATGTATTTTAAGAATTCCTAATATTCCACCTCGGTCACAAGCTCAAAACAGCCCTCATTAAATTGTCTCCCAGCCAAAGGATGGCTAGTCCAGTTGGTTAACTGAGATATGCTAGTCACTCCGGCGGCACCCTCCAGGTCCTAAGTTCGACTCCCAGTGGGAGCGAATTTCAGGCTGGGGGTTAAAAAAATCCCCTCGCCGGTCCCGGGTGCCAAAGCACTGGTTTAAAGGAGACGGCCCATCTCACGGGTTACGTCTCCCAGTGTCGGGCCGGGGCCGGGGTTCGGGGGTTTTCTCAGCCTGTGTGAGAAGGCCTTCTTCTTACGTATAATGCCCGGGGGGCGGCTTGCCCCTCGCAGGTCGAGTTTTTTTAAATTGTCTCCCAAGGCTCAAGCGCTTTAGAGAGGAGCATCGAAGTTTTTCCCTGCATGCTTAATCTGTGCTAAAAATCACAGGAATGCTAATATACAAGACAGAGGGAATGGCTTAAACTTGTCTGAGAAGCCATACAAATAGGAGTTAACCAAACGCTTAAAGCATCCTAGTGCAAAACCATTCTTTAAGTTCAAAAGATTATCAATATTCTACTGACCCCCCTTGGCACTGGAAGAAGACATCAATAAACGGCAGTAGCTGATCTGTATAGAAAAGTAAAGAAAAACAACTTAACTGACAGATGGACAAAAGCAATAATGATACCTCAACTACAGGGACGCCCATCAATCTTAACAGCCTCTTGCAGTCATCATTGTGCTTTCTTGTAACCTGGAAAGGGAAGGCAGAAATCACAGTACATGCTCAGAATGACTCCACAAGTTAACAAAAAATAGTACTAACACTCTCAATTTGCTTAAAAGGCTTAAACCGTTTTGCTAAAGAGACTCCAAATGACATATTTCATGCAAGACTAGAAGGTTGCTTCATCTGATATAAATTCAAGGACACTTTTCATTGCTTATTTCTTGAAAGAGTATGATCATTACCTTGACAGTTCTTTTACTAAATTTTTCAATTGCATCCTCATCCCCAATCTGTAATGCAATTGGCACTTTAGAAATCCATCAAAAACAATGAAAAAGATAAACAAGGTCGGTAAGAAAGCTCTAAAACTACATTGAGGACCAACTAACCTCCATAGCTCTGTTAAGATCTTGGGTAGCATCATCCCTCTTCAAGGACCTAAATAATAGCAAATATCAGAAATGTGTGTATTGAGATTTAATAGTGAATATGAGCAAAGAAATAATTTGACACATACCTTTTTGCAAGCTCCTTTTTCTTCATTTCAGGTGGCTCGCCATCAAAAACAAATCTAGCATAAAAGCTCAGCACAGTCAGCAAAAGTAAGCTAACTGCAAATAGTTGACAAGGACCACAGGAATGCAACAAGCTTACACGGGCTTTATCCCTGCTTCTAACATTCTTACTATCCGGTTCAACATACCCTGCAGATGACTACACAGTTCACAGAGATGGAAAGTTAAATAAGCTGGATAATGATCAGACCACAGGCAGGGCAAGCAATATTTCTTGCCTTGTGATTTCACCAGCATCATTGGTCAGAAGCTCTGATCCTTTCCTTCCAACCACGATCTGCAGAAATTAACGACACATTTGATATGAATCAAATGAAAACTAGACAAAAACACTATAGTCCTATGACCCAATAAACAGTTAAATACAATAATACAAATGCCTGCACATGTTAATAGCATGAAACTTTGAGAGAACAAAAATTGGGCCGCGGTTTTGAAAATTGAAATTCTGCCAACAACATTAACCTATGAAACTTTTTTTTTCACGGCTATGCCAAAGCACGTATTTCATTAAGAAGAAAGAAATCAAGAACCGTTACTGAAAAGTGGTGAGCCTAGGCTTAAAGTCGAACTCGACAAGACAAGAAGCACTAGGTGTTATTTACATGATTGATTTGCGACTGTAACAAACAATTATGTTTGTATGCATGCACGTAATACAGCAGATGCCGAATGTAACAGAACGTAGCAGTTGGCTCAAACATTTTGTACCCCTATGAACCAACATAGGCATAAATCTCCAAACTGACTGTGCTTCCCACAACAGCAACAGGCAGGAGGAGAAATCACACGTGCTATCATACCAAATTTGAAACCAGGAACACTCCGCAGGACACATCATCACATCATCGGAGAAATCCAACCCAGCCGCAATACAATCCTCAGCACTGGTCTGTACCCAGATGCAACGACGACTCACGACATGAGTAAACGGCCGCAGGAAACTGAAGCCAAGGGCCGAACAGACAGAGGGGGCGAGCTGGCGTGAGGGCTCACGAGGAACTGGTAGATGCTGAGGCTGGCGTCGACGGCGATGACGCGGCCGCGGTAGTCCTCCACCCGCCGCTGCACCGCGGCTCTCGGCGCGTGCTCCGCCAGCAGCTTCGTCAACCCCTAGAGCGCGCCACGAGCACAGAGACCGTTACATCGAGAGCCCAAGGGCCAAATTGCAGCTGTGAACCACCAACCCCTGCAGGAGAGTACCTTGATTCCCATGGCGGTCGGAATCGGCGGCGCTGGCAAGGACGGCGAACCAATGCGCCGCCGCGAAGGCTGTGTTTCCCGCTTCGGGACAGGAGCCGGAAAGTCGGGAAGGGGTGTGGAACGGAAGTGGACAAAGGAGAAAGTCGACGTTGGCCCCGTTTTCAGCTTTTTTTTAGTCGAAGCAGTTTTTTTTTTCATAACAATTCAGTCAATTCAGTAGGAGGAGTGTTTTCACCTAATTCAGCTAAGTTTCAGCAAGCTCGAACGAGGCCAAGTTATCTCCTTCAACTTTCACGAAGTCCGTTTTTCTTTCCCAAACTTCAAAGCCGGGTAAAATATCTCCCTCAATTTTTTAAAATCGTTCATCTTACCTCCTTGCCCTATTATAAGCGGTTTTGAAGTCAGTTTTTTTTTTGTCGAATCTTTGAAAAATCATAGTAAATAAAAAAAATCATAAAATAGAAAATTTAATTTTATTGGACTTCACATGAGTAGATCTACGTAGTGAACATATAATATGGTATGATTTAGTACAAAGTTTTTGCCATTGCTTTAGATCTATGTTTTTTTAATTAAATAGAATAATTCATAGTTGCAGTTCTATGATCCAATTATGGTGAATTTTTTATGATGGACTAATTATTGTATGCTTAAACTATACTAAAAATTTTATACTCATTGGATCATGTATAACTTAGTTATATATTTTATTTAGGTTTATGCTTGTTAAATATAAATAAATCTACAACTAAGCTATACATGATCGAATGAATATGAAATTCTTACTATAGTTCAATCATACAATAATTAGCCCACTATAAAATTTTTATCACAATTGGACAATAGAAATTGCAGCTATGAATTATTCCAATTAATTACATAAAAGCATAGATCTAAAACCACAATAAAAATTTTATACTAAAATATACCATATTATATGTTCACTGTGTAGATTTACTCATGTGGAGTCTTAAAAAAATTAGATTTTCCATTTTATAATTTTTTTTTTTGTGATTTACTATGATTTTTCAAAGATTCGATCGAAATAAATAAATAAAAAAGACAAAACCACCTTCAAAATTGCTTATAACATGACAGGGAGGTAAGATGAACGGTTTTAAAAGTTGAGAGAGGTGTTTTGCCCAGTTTTGGAGTTCAGAGAGGAAAAGCGGACTTTCGCGAAAGTTGAGGGAGATAATGTAGACTTTTTCCGTGGATAAAATCAGCGGGTTTGGGCTGTGCTTTTCTTTGCATTTTAGAGAAGGAAAAGAATGCTTGGGTTGTGCCTCCGTAGCTTTATTCAATGGGCTTCCAGGACTTTCTATTTCTGACTTTTGGGCTTTTGGCCCATCGATCAGCCTACATATTATCTATTTACACTACTAATTCATCGATTTTTTTTCTTTTTTAGATCCACACAAAAAAATATCCTTCACTGGAAAGTGTACCTAGAAAAACGACATCTTAAAAACAGACCATCCAGATTTGCTTGTAGACCTTCTCTCTCCTTCCTCGCTCACATCCAACGGTCCACGTCATCTACCCTACTAATTCACCAACTTTTTTTTTTCCTAGATCCACACAGAAAAGGTCCCCCACTGAGAAGCCCCCTATCCATCCACCCATAAAAATATACCTAGAAAAACGATATCTTTAAAATCCACACAAAAAAAATATCCTCCGCTGAGAAGCCCCCAATCAATCGACCCACCAAAATATTCTAAGGAAAACGATATCTTTAAAACGGATTTGCTCGTAGGCCTTCCCTCCCCCTTGCTCACTCACATCATGTTAGTCAGCCGCCTCACCCTTCCCCGTCTCCCACGGCCGCGCCCCCCACGCCCCCACGCCCGCGCCCGTGCGCATCGCGCACAGTTCGATTCCTCAGTTATCATCTTCCTCTCCTCCCCCTCGCCTCCCTGTCCCGTGACTCGCGACTCGCCCCGTCCCGCGGCTAGGGTTCCCCGATGGTGCCGCTCGCCGGCCATCTCCAGTCGTGTTCGCAGCCCTGGCCTAGGACGCGCGGCAGCGGCCCTCGCCAGGTCGAGCGGAGCCGCGCTCGCCGGGCCGCCCCATGCCACCCCATGCCGCCCAGCGACGCCCTCGCCAGGGCCGCACGCGCCGCCGCCTCCGCATGCGGCTTCCTGGGCAGCGCGGGAAGAGCAAACCCGCTCCCGTCCGCGCACGTCTCCAACCTCCAGTCCGTGCTCGCCGCACGCTTCTCGCCCCCGGGCTAGGTCAGCACCGCCGCCGCAGCCGGCGAGGCTGAGGCCTCCTCCGCACCGCTCGAGATGGGGCGCCAGCGAGGCCCGTCGTTCTTCTTACCTGTGCCAGGGGATCCGGTCGACTGGTCTTGCGGCTCTCGTCGATGCCCTCGTTGCCGGCGGACGCTGTGACGTCCACGTGTGTGCCCCCGAATCGTACGTGCTGCAACCTGAAAACCCAAGCGTCTTAATGTCCCCTTACATTGCTCTCATGATCGCAAAATATTGTTTGCTTCCATTGAATTTGTTGGGAGATTAAGTAGTCCCAATTTTGGACGCCGAGTTTGCTGGCATTATATAGTATTTTTGTTGCCTTTTGCCTGTGATTGTTGAACTGAACTGATTTGGGTCCCTTTGTTTATTTGAAGGGACAAGCTAGCCTGTGGCCACTCAATTACCATCCGTGAAACCATCACTGCGACATCCGTGGATTTCACAGTTGCTAAAGCTTTTGAGATATGATGCGGTGAGGTCCATTTGTTCATTCGATTGTGCGCAATTTGCGTCACACTTATATTAAAAAAACACTTAATCTGATTAAAGAAGGCATGTGAAGATGCTAGGATGGATGCTTGACCTGGATGGTTGAATGGTGTGTTCGCTGACATTTGCGTTGTTCTTGACAGTAGTACTCCAGTGTTGCTTACTTCTACAGTTGTACAATTAATGTTCTGAAGCCAACCATCGAAATTCGATTAACACTGACTCAAAGGTAAGCTGTGGCTCAAGTTCAGTTATCTTCCATAATAGATGTCTGAAGCTACCATGCATGGTCTATTTTTTATGTTTTCCTCTGATCTGAATATGAACTGAACAGAGTGTTTATTGTACAAGTGGCCTTAGGATATTCCTTTTTATTTATAGATTATATCATAATATATATATAATATCGGACGTAAACCAGTTAGCTACTCTTATCAGTTCTTTTCGGTCTTCAAATGAACTCAGGTAGTGTGATTCTATTGACCGTATCTTAGCTAAATTCACATATGAGCTTTATCACTGCACAGATATCATAGGAACAAGGAATACTTATGAAGGATGAAGAGGAAATAGTGGCAAATCACCACTGATAGAGCATTGCTGAGCCTGTTGCGCACCTGATGGATGGACGAGGTCTATGCTCAGCCACGATCCTCTAATTGGCAATGGAACTCTTTCACTTTTATAGATCAGGTATTTGTTTTCCCAACTGCTATCATTGGTCTGCTACTGCCATTCTACATTCTTTTAGAAAACATGCAAATTGTGTTGCCCACTATCATGTTATTTTAAATTCATAGAAATAGATAGGAGTCGTTACTCTGTTTTTTAATCCATCGTCGTATGTTTCAAATTGTTGACTTTAATACGTGTAGTTGTGGACTTGTGGTTGGTGTCCCTTATGCTCTTAAATGACTTCCACGAGAAAACCAAATGGTGGTCGTCCACCCTTGATTTGCCTCCTACATTTGATTAATTTGACTCCTAAAACTGAAAAATCACCGTTTGCCTTGCGCTTTATTGCTTTCGATACACTTCCATTGCGATGATTTACAACGCTGGTCGTTTGGTTTTTGTTTCAAGTATTGCTGCTTTGTTTCAACTTCACAACTCTAGAGTTGAGCTCACTCTCAGTAATGGCAATGCCATCTGCAGGTTTTAGTGGTACGCCAGGACCTCATCAAGATGGGGGCTGGGAAAATAGCTTCTCAATGTGCCCGTAAGTTCATCTTCAAGTGGACGCATGCTGTTTATTTGGCACACCTCATTCATTGTTAATCCCTTGCAGGTGCAACGATGGGCTTGTACGCAGAATTGTTGTCAAGTTGTCAATGCGGTTTGCACTGTTTCTTCATTAAGTAGATTTAGTTGAAGGATGTCCGAAGTATATTTTTCTCTTCATAGGCAATAAATATTCCTTTATAGTGTTACTGTACACTATTTAGGCTTGAATTTGCGTAGATACACTCATTTATTGATTTTTAAAGATGTGATTGAATAAATGATGTTCTACTCATCAAAATGGGAACACTGGGAGCAGCAGAGCAGACAGCATTATAATGGAGCTAGCTGCCTCTGTTGAGCCGAGCGGTGCTTGCACTGCATTGCATTTGTGGGCAATGGCAGGAGTTGGAAAGACTAGGAAGAGAGGAGAGGGGCGATGAGAAGCAGAGCATGAGAGGAGAGGGGCGAGGAGAAGCAGAGCAAGAGGGGATTTACAGTATAGTACGTCATAAACACAGGCATTTTATAAGAGTTAACTTATTATCTGTCATGCACAGCTGTCAATGAATTTTTGGTGGACATTTTGAAGAGCCATGCAAATAAATATTTTGACAGCTTCTCCGAAAATCTCCAAGGCCTACCTATGTTTCTTAGGCAGATTGTAAATTAGATGGTTAAATCGAGACATTACTTTATTATATCTTGTTATACATGAAAGTTTGAACTATGGAAAAAATATCGGTTGTTTGGTTGTTTTTAAGTCCATCTCCAAAATAAAGCCATAGCGTTAACACGGGCACCGTACGTAGTAGCTAAAAAACAATTTACGTTCCCCTAAAAAAAAGGTAAAAAACAATCTACGTATAAACTATTTTTTTTTATCTTTTTACAGTATAGCATAAAACCTCTCTTTTTATTTTTCTATTTTTTGCTAATTACACTGTGCAGACGTAATAACGCTCAGAAACACACGTGCATAGCATGCGTCATGCGTGTACAGGGATTATTGCTTCCACACTATCTAGGGATTATTGCTTCCAC